AAAAAAAAGGGAATGAAAATGGAAGACAGAGCTTAGGTAATAGAAAATTATGGCAGGAGTCAGGGTTCCATCACTGCTCTTTTCCTGTTTTGGAGGCCCACATACTAACAGTAAGGCATTTTTATTAAATACAAACCAGCATCTGCAACTTCATTTAATATAAATTTCTTTTCGGCTTTAAGATAATTGCAAGCATCTAGATATTTGTAGTGATTCTACAATTCCAATTATGTTAAATGGCTATCCAAAACCAACACCATTGTTATATTAACACTGCTAAAAGCTCACTGCAAACTACAGAAACAATGGATTTTAACAAAGGCTAATCCCCTGTTTCACCTACTGAGTTTACAGAAAATTATTAAAAGGATGAAAACACCCACTTCAAAATACCAGTTATTTCTGGAAACAAGAAGCAGATGTTCTCCTCTGTTTGGCTCAGCTGTGCTACAGTACAAGAGTGCCTTTGTTATGCTGTCAGCAATAATTTATTTTAGTTATTACAGCCATTTTATAATGCCCATCAACGTACTATTTGTGCATGATTTAGATTCATGTGGATCTATTTCTCTATATATGCCGTCAAGAAGCATCACATACATACTCCAAATAGTAGACCCTGTTATAACACAATTGTGCAAATTAGGTTTTTTCTCTTTCCACTGTATTAATAAAAAGGGAACAGGAAGAGAAGGAGGAGTTAGTATTGCCAAATAAAGTTGAATTAACATTAATCAAGAATTACTGAAACAAGACATAGTACAAAGTTAGGAAAATACAAGAGCTTAGAGTATAAAAATAAACTCTACTCTTTGAAGTCCAATAAAGGCAAAGCTTTCTGAACCACGGAAAGGAAATACTGTCTAGAACAAAGTCATGAAGAAGTAAAAGGAGACTATGTTGGGAGAAGGACCCATTAAAAAGGGAAGAGCGCGTGCTCACAGGAGGGGGAAGAGAAAGAAAAAGGAACACAGTCATTTGCTATTTGTCCTATCAGCTACTGTGACCTTATCTGTGGTAGGCATTAAACCACTCCCCAAAAGACTAACATCACAGCCTTTGTATGGATCTGATAAGGAATTCTGGACCTCAAAAAATTAAACCTTTAATGAGAGAGCACACACGGGGGCATAAGCGTTCATCCTTCCCTCCTACTGCTTTGAACAAACAATTTCCTTCTATCAAAATAATCCCAAATTACTAATTTAGTATCCCCACCTGTGACACAAGAAACAGGCAGGATGATGTGTAAGACAAAGCTAAAACACTGCACAGAAGGACGTAATTCCCATATTCCCAACCTGCAAGAACTGCAGGATCTGTATGTATAAATACTCCCACATTTAACACCACACAGACATCAGCATAACCCTGGAAGACAAATGCATATATTAAAATATTAAACCAGTGTATGAAAACATAGAGTTTAAATATAGTGACTTTTTTTTTTTTTTAAAGTGATTATGTGTCCAACGACTGCAAAGGTTTCCTCTATTTGACAAGACAGTGTGCACAGAAGAGATGATTTGTTAGGAACATCTGTTATCGAAACTAACATCTGAGGGAACCCTTGCAAATTCTGCGCTTCCAGGCTGAACCTGAGAGACGGACAGACAGATTTCTAAACCCTGCCAGTACACGGTCACAGTCAATCTCTGTAACCAACGAGTCTTAAGTTTTACTGAAGTGGGACTCACATCCTAGAGTGGCAATCTGCCACGTACATGGGTAAATCCACGAGCAAACGTTTTGAAAGACTTTCCACAAGAAAGGCCAGCTTGCATCATGTATCTGTACAATTTTATGATGCACCAGGGCAGAAGGAAGAAAGAAAAGAACTCAAAAGATTTCCCAGGCTTGGGTAGTACCAAACAAAGTTTCTAGATGGAGTAACAGAACAGCAATTACATAAAAATGAATACACCGTTAAATGTTAGCTACAATCTCCCGGAGTTCATCAAAATAATCCCCCCCCCTGCGAAATAAATTAAAGATTTAATACATGAAGTATCTGAGCAACAACCACCAAAGAAAAAAAAAATCAAGTGTGTACATGTCTTATATGCATAACTTATACACTTTAACAATTAGCAAACATTGGAATGTTACCACAACAGTGAAAACTTGCCCTAACAGAGATTTAGCAAACAAAAATATTTGCAGCATCAAGAATTAAAATTTTTACTTGAGCAAGCCACCAAGATAATTCCGCGTAATAAGTAAATTATAAAAATATTCTAATATCTCCCTTCTTAGTTCTTTAGATCTTACAAATTAAAACATTTTGTCAAGAAAAAGTCCTAAAAGTCCAAATTGTACAGAAAATTGTAACACTCACAAGTAAAATTTGACATGTGGATTATTTATCTGTATTTTTCCAGAGACTGCTGTACAGATGATAGTTATGAAGCACCAGACCATGCTACTAATCAGTGCAGCCCCAACCGTATAATTTGTAATACCCAGGTAAACTGCTCATATAAACTGCAGGATCAGAAGTGGAGAGGAGGGCAGAGAGGGACTGAAAGCCATTGAAACTCATGTAGTCAAATGGCTTTGGCTCATCATCAAATACCAGTCATGGTTTGGGGAATTTTGGCGGGGTTTTTTTCCTGAATAAAAATGCAGTCAAAGTGCATGAGCAGCCCCACGCAGCTGATTTCACGTGGGAGGAGCTGATGATACCTTTCTACCAGAGTAGGAGGGGAGAAATGAAGCCAACTTTTTGTCTGTGCACAACTGGATACTTCAAGACAGGCGTCACCAGCTTGTACACCCCACGCAGGGACACCCCAAACTGGGGTCTGACCCTAATGGCTGCACTAAGCAGGTCTCTACTTCCCTGACCTAAGTCTTGCAGCCTACAGAAGAAAGTTGACAAGTCAGGATGCTCAACACAATTCAAAAAAAAAAAAAAAAAAAAAAGAATAAATAAAAATTACATTGCAATTGTTTCCTCCGGTTCCCTTATCACCCTACATCCATCTGTCATCACATCTCAGAGCATATGTTTGGGAAATCTGACAGGAGGTTAGATTTTTTGCTTTCTGTCTGAACAGGTAATATAGATCCAGAAGGGAAATCCCAAGACAAACCATGCTACTGAAACAGGGAAGCGCTTTTCTTGAAATCAGGTTAGTTTCTGAATGCATATAAACAAAAGCACCCCAACAAAACAGAAGTGATTTGACTCTAATTATCCACTCAGCAACAGGCAACAAGAACAGAGGCCCCAATCCTGCCAAGTTTTAAGTACGTGTTTAACTTTAATCACGAGTACTCTCACTGCGCAGTGTCTCTAAATGTCTGCCAAAAAAGGGCCAGATTAACAAGGGAATTAAGAATATTTTTAATCATTTTAGAGGTGCTATTAGTTAGATTAGCAAAGATTAGATTTTTATTTTTTTCCACAACTGAGATACCTTGGCAAATTCAAACCTGCACACAACCCTGATGTCAGTCCCAATGGGAACCTACACAAATCCGCATGAACACACAAGCATGGTCCAGTGCTGTCGGACCTCATAATATCTGACAGTTTAACATTACAAGGTTAAGCAACATATTTGTTTTAAGGCATTTTTAGCCAAAATGAGGTGGAAATCCTAAAGAATTCCATGACAAGTGCTAGGGGGATAATTGAGGATGCCTTAAAAAAAAAAAAAAAAAAAAGGACAAAAAGCCCTACACAGCTGTGAGACGTCAGTAGTACAAGCAGCAGCGGGCAGATGTTTCAGGCTAGGCCAGATTACCTCTTCCCCAAAGTCAAACCCATGACGAGCCAGTACGGTATGCTAGCTCATGAATGACACTTCTGTCATGAACCCACTTGCCCAACACTGCAAACCACACTGGCGAAGGAATTTTGCTAACTGAAGACTAGAGGTGAAGAGAAAGAAAGAAAGGTCTGAAGCAAGACGGGAGCAATAAAAAAAAATAAGAAAACGGAAAAAACAGAGAGACTGCCTCATTGTTAATTTAGGGAGCAGAGACGCAAGGAGGAATGTATCGGATATCCCAAGGCAAGCAAGGATTGGGGTGGAACATGTGGATTTCACTCACGAGACTGACTCGAAGGGGAATCGGGGTCCCTGTCCTGCTAGGATGTACCCTGCAGCAGTCTCTGCAGCAGTTTGCCCTGAGTAGCCTTTTGATAATTAACTTATAAGGAAGAGCAGGCAGGACATTTTGCTCTCCATGAAGTATCAAGGGAGAACAGATGTTTCCCCGTCTCAGTGGGACAAACTCACGAGCATATCATTTCCTACCACTAATTCTTGAGCACAAAAAAAAAAGAATCACAGTAAGGGAAACAAATAAAAAAAAAAAGGTAGGGTTAAGCAAACACACTCCAATCAGCCTTTCAATGAAATGTAAATACTATCAAACATATTTCATTATTAAATTAATGGTCCATGACATTACTATTCCCAAAAATACATGGCTGATTACAGACTAGCTTATGGATAAGGGACAGAGAAGGCAGTTAAATGGAAAATGTGGTTTACTGTAGCTAACCAGCCTCGCACATTTCTACACTCCCACTCACTGGAGAAACAACTCTATGAAGTCTGCAAAGCATAATTAGTTTGGTTTTGTTTAAATCTGCATCACTGTACAGGTAAGCAAAGTCTTTCAGTTGCTAACTTTTCCCAGAAGTTTTGCATCACTGAAATATGCATAATTCTACTTTTCAGTGATCTACCTCTTCTTCTTCCTACAGTTTGCCTGAAGTAGTTCATAAAGTGCCTTATGTCTATATCCAGCGTGTTACTGGATGTTTAAAACGCTGTTGGTCTCGAGAGGTCCAACTTTGGAAAGCAGAAATAAATAAATAATCAGACTCTACATAGAAGTTTGTGAGCACCAGCCTGGTCACGTGCAGCACGCAAACACCACGAACCACGCACCGGGCAGAAAGCCTGTTGGAATACAATTTCACGCAAAGAAAAAAATAAAAATTAAAAGACCCAGCAAGGAAGGAGTTGCAGCCCTCTTACCTCCGGAGTCCTTTCTGATGGTTTCTTTCGCAAAGCCTGTTTAATCTTGGGGTCCACAGGAGAGGTCATTCTATTACTCTGCTTCTCCAGGTCCGTAACTCCTCGAAAATAGCTGCCGGGGGGCGATGCCTCCAGGCGCGCAGGGAACACGAAACACAAAAACACAACGCGATCAGCCGAGGCTCCCCCGC